CAGAGGTAAGAAGAGTGGCAAGGTGGTGACCATGTTCATAACCTGAGTGCCTATATGGATATGTTCTGCCTAAGACTGCTTGCCATCAGGACATCAAGCTGCATTCTCTTCCTCTTCCCTTTTCCCAATTATCCTTTCCCCACCTTTCTCTCTAAACCATTCTGTGATGCAGAGCTCTGAGGTATGGAAAACTTTGGGGCACTAGACAAGCCATAGGCTACTGAAAATATTCCTGTGGCATAGCACACTGGATATTTTCACTGCACTGTGTTTTTCTTAGAAGGTCTGCATCTTTTCCTCTCATGCCCGGTTACTTAGCCAATGACCATCATTTCTCAACTATTGCTAATGACATTAAAGTGACACATTTTTTTATCCACTGAAGAAAGTTCCTTTAATTCAGCAAATATGGCTGAATAGTATTTGGTCATTATCACACAGGAAATATAGTAATTTTCATTGTCCTTAAAAGAATTAGTAAAGAAGTGCCAGAAGGAAATGTTAAAATACTGTCTGGCTTGGGCTCTTATGTTGGAACCCAATAAAGGAATCTGAGCTTTGACTTTGGGAAGAGGATCGTTTAACATTCATCCCTAGCCTCAGTACTACCTCAGCTCTTTACACACTCTGCGGAAGTGGTGGACACTTAGGAGTGAGGCGGGGGTGGCAGCAAGTTACCAGCTGGTTACAGCAGTGTGATCTGAGGCAAAGTATTTCATACTGCCACGTCTCCCTTCCCTTATCCATGAAGCAATCACAATAATGGTCCCTGTGACATTGAACTGCCTGAAAGTTCAGTGAAAATATACGTATAATGCCTATCACATACTAAAAACCTCTAAAACATTAAGTATTTTAAAACTATATTTTTACAACCTAACATTCTGGGATTAAGTAATTAATTCTATCACAGTTTCAAGTGACTTCATGATTTTCACAGGTGCCAATGTCAGAGTTACAGAATAAATTATCTAGAAAGCTAAAAATAAGGATATTTATAAGATTGTGGCTAAAAGAAAAATTAACCTGACCAAATAGGCACTGATCCTGGCTCTGCCACTACCTGTGGACATAATTATCTAAAACATAGGGAGTTTGAGCTAGGTGAATTACCAGGTGTTCTGAAGCTCAAACATTACCCAGGCAGCAACAACAATCATTTCATTGCTCACCATAATATGCATGGCCCTGGAGGTCTATAAAGATTGCAATCTGGAGAAAGTAAACTTCTTGTGGGCGTGTTATCTCCCTACCCCAACAGTCCATGCTGTGTGATGGAGAGAGGGGAGGGGAGGAAAGAGACATCCTGGCCCTCAGCAGGAGCCAAGCCCTGGGTTCTCCCTTTATTTCCTAAATCACACTCTCAGAACTGATGTTGTGTTCCATTTTAGAAAATGGGTCATTCGAATAATGAAATAAAACCGAACCCAATCTACAAAAAGCTCTTGCTATTTGCAATACAAGGCCTAGCCTATTAATTAAAAAATCAGCATACTGAATACAGTAGTACTTCAGTTCAAGAACTCCACTCTCTATGTGATCCTGCTGGCAAAACAAACTGGATGAGAACCAAATCAAATTTCCCCATAAGGTCAAAATTGAACCTAACCGTTGAATTTGATTCCATTCTTGTTCACCTCGGCTTGAGACCAGAATCATGGAAATAAATGAGTTCATGAGCTGAAGTACCACCGTACACACACCGTGGGCATCAGTTTGGGTGTTATGTATGTGTGCAAAACTCTACTCAGCACTGACATTGGTTGCCCGTCAATGCTGATCTACTACTCATCTACAAATTGGGAGTGTTAGCAGCTCATATGCTTTTACATTACAGAGGTGCTGTGGGAAGATTAAATATCTCGAGCCCGCTAAGGATTATTAAGTACTGGCAATTCCATATTCAGGTAATTGCTTTTGAGCCTTATAGGGACAGTTAAATAAGCATTTCCATTTTAATATAATTTTCAAGAGATAAAAAGGATTCTGAAATTCCATCATGTCTAAATTTGGTACTGCTGTTGGGGAGGTGAAAAAACTTTATAGTCATGTGCTTTTTATAAAGGTATAATTGCTTGCTTCAAAAACTTCTTTAGTTAGAATTTTTATTGGGATTAGCTGTAGAAGTTCTACAGTGAAGAAGCTCACTTTTTCACTCCAAAATACATTCTATCACACTATAACCTGCATGGCCAACTCTAACAACAGCTCTTCTTGGTGTCCAAGTTGGGTTTAATCCATTGCAAGGAATAAGTTTTTATCTGTCTTGTGCAGGGATTTAGCCTCCACTTCTATCAATTCCAGAGAACCTCAGTTCACCAGTGGGCTGTTCCCTTCCTTTCCCAATCCACAGCCTCACCTTCTCTACTGCCTCTCACCCCTCTGCACTGAAGCACCTTCAGCTCTCTCCTACTTTGAACAAATATTAAAACTGAAAACTTCAAGTTCCTTTTGGCCCTGTTTTTCTGCCTAGCTATTTTCCTCTTACTTGAAGACCACATTATGACGTGAACTCTCTCTGACCTCCTCACTTCCCGTTTTAAACGCACAGTGCTCAGCTGTTTGCCTTCCTTCTTTTTCCCTCCCCCACAAACATTCCACTGAAAGTGTTTTACTGTGTTCTCAGATGACCTCTTAGTTGCTATTTCCTATGTATGTTTACATCCACATTTACCTTGATGTACCTGTGACCTTTGACATTCTACCTCTTCTTCCAGAAGCTCTCTAGAAATTTCTAGAGTTCACTGCCTGTGTTTTTATCCTCCCATCCGGTTATTCCTCTTAATTTCCTTCAGAGTCCTAAAATGCTGAGGGAGACTGCAGGGGGCTAAGCAACCTGTCTCCATTGTTGGTTGGAATGTAATCTAGTAGAACCATGACAGAGATGAGTGTGGAGCCGGGTGTTTGGCTCAGTGTTTCCACTGCCTGCCTTGCAAGCACAAGGGCCCGAGTTCGATACCCAGTACCAAAAACAAAACAAAACGAGATCAGTTCGGAGATTCCTCAAAACCCAAAAGTAGAAACTCCATTTGACTCAGCTATTGCTCTTCTAGGTATCTTCTCAAAGGATTGAAGACACCATATTGCAGTGATGGATGCACATCCGTGTTTATAGCATCATAATTTATAATAGCTAAATTTGGGGAGCAGCCCATCAACAGATGAATGAATAAAGAGATTGTGGTGTTTACACATCATGAAGTACTATTCTGCCACAAAGATGACCTCGAGTCATTTGTAGGAAAACGGATGCAGACCACAATGTGAAATAGAATAAATTCGACACACAAACACAAACTTAAATATGGCATCGTTTCTCTTGTAGGAGAAACCCACATTATAAATAAGGGGCAAAAGAAAAGATAGGTAATAGGAAATAGGGTGAAAGAACTCTCTCAAATAGAAAGGGGATCAAGAGATGGAGGGAGGAGGAGGAAAGGGATGAAAAAAGAAATTAAGATACATTACGTACAACTCCACACAAGAAATGTAAACGTGCTAATAAAAACTGAAATGAGTACTGAAAACAAGTACTAATAAAAAAAAGTTTTGCGTACTAGACTTCCCCAAAGTTCTCAGGAAAGAACTCTTATGTGACCAATTATTCCCAAGACTTCAGCTTCCACCTTTAAAATACTTCTTCTTGCCTTCCAAATAAATGCCTCTTATCTGTGCCTGTCTTCCAGACTCAGACTTCTAAAGCCTCTTAGCACCCTGTCTTCCTGCGACATCATCATGTCAGTTAAGAGCCCCCAACCTAACTGTTCAACATAGAAATCTATGCATCCCCTTTGACAACTAAAAGCAGCCTGATGATAGGACCTGGGTTCCACAGGCTGAAGACCTGGGTTTGATTCTCAGCTGTCGCATTTGACAGTTCTGAATTATCATGGGCTACATTTGCGTCTCTCTGGGCCTCGGATTCTTTACCTGTAAAGTGGAGATAATAACAGTACCAACTTTACAGCATTCTTATTGAGATCAAAGAACTGTTGTGAAGCACTTGATCTGTTTGTTTATCTCTCCCCCTGTTTTAATACTTAATATATTACTCCTTTCAGTATAAAAACATTCAGCATCCTCCATTGTGCTTAGCATCCAAATTCCTGTGGTCCTCATGAAGGACCCAGCATACTCAGCCCCACCTCAAGGGCTCCACGTCAGGCAAAAGAAACAACAGGATGTCTTTGCGCTGACCTCTCTGGTCAAATGCTCTTGCTTCTGTTTTAAAACACTCTTTCTCCCAGTTCTTTGCCCCTTGTGTCTGAACAGCTCCTACTCACTCTTCAAGGTTAAAATTGGGTGTCACTTCCCTGGGAAATCTGATTCCTGGACTGGTTTAGGACCAACAATAAATACCTACACCCTTTGAAAATGTGTTTTGCGTAGCACAGGTGCTTCATGTATAGCTGGTTGCAAATGCTTCTCTGTCCAGTCCCTCCCTTGAATTGTATTCTCTGTGAAGGAAGGTACTAGATCTCCTCTCCTTCTGCTCTTCAGTTCTTAGAACATCCCAGGTGCTGAAAGCACATACATGCAGACTATCCAGGCAGGATTTAGGCCAAGTAAAGAAATCGTGTCATGTATGAACTTGTGGACTCCAGGGAGCATGGGAGTGAGTAGGCTAGAACATTCCCTGTTGGTCTTGTGGGAGAAGAATAGGCTGCGTTGTACAATCAAATACTCAGTACTTAAAGCAGAATTTAGATGCCCTGTTTCTCAACTTTTCAAGACTATAATTCATTAAATATAGAAGAAGAAATAAAACCAAAGTTTTATTTAACTTTACTTAGTTGAATGTTATCTTTCAAACTAAAGCATCTTCTGGGATATTTTTTTCCCACCCAGCTCCTAAACTTCAGAGTTAAAAGTAAAAGATACTCTTTTTTCTTTAAACAAAGGTGTGTGTGTGTGTGCCTGAACTGTGATTTCTTACTTGTGCGATATTTCTTGTCTTCATGTGATTATTGTCCTAGTGACTAAATCTTCTTCTAAACCAGGTGCAGTTACATGATAGACAATGTGATTTTACTGATGAATGGTGCATTACAAAAAAAATCCGTGAAAGAAATTCTGGTGAAGTGCCACCCACTGGGCAGTTTTACAGAAATGGAAGCAGTCAACATAGCAGAGACCATTTCAGATCTCTTCAATGCGGTTCTGGTTGAAACCCCATTAGGTACGAATACATAAGTATGTAGCTGCCTGTGAATGTTATCACTGGCATTAGAAAATGTATTTGCAGTTCACAACTGTTTTCCAAGTATGCAGTTTCTTATTATGCTGACTCATAACATTAAAGAATCATCTAGTGTTGCTTCCTCATTTTTCAGATGAAGGAACCAGCTCAGGGTCACAGGAGAACCATTTGTAGCAGAGAAAGAGCAGCAGCTAAGCTCCCAACCTTCAAACCCTTGTACTGTCTACCAGCCCATAGTGCATAAATGACAAAACACATCGTTATTCAAACTATTAGTTTTCTCGCTGAGTTTCATGATAATTCTTCATTTTCCATTTTAAACTAAGGTCTAAATAAAGACAACTTAGGAAGGACTTTTTTTTAGGAAGCTTGACAATGTCATTTTTCTGAGATATTCTGTCAAAGGATCTGAAGCGATGATGAAAAAAATGTCAATTTCATTATAATTTGACCCTGACTAACACTGGATTACTTAAAATACTAAAAAGGATAATTTCATTTACTTATCTATGATTGTTAGAAAATTGGGATAGTAGTAATCGACTATTGATCGTTTGTCAAAATATTTCCACTTTGTTTTAATTTGGGGGGAGCCCACGAGGATCACACACCTGATAAGAACGCTCTCTCCCTCTGACATGCTGACATTGCCAGCCAAAATAGTATCTACTTAAAACAGAAATTTTAAAAGACAAAAATAATATGTGTGTCATCCATTAGAGTCTGAGGCTGAGACCTTGTGGAAAGAGTATAAGCCTGGAATCAGACAGCTGCGATCTTTCCCAACAGCTCTGCCTTCTCCCAACAAGGTGACCTGGGGTGATTCAATTCATCCAGTTTCCTCACTTTAAAAACAATCATATCTGATTATAGAAGGGTTTTGAGAATGAAATAAAACATAGTCTTAATACAACTCAATGACTGGTATAAGTTAGGTTACAAACGGTAAATGTTACTAATAGGCAACATTTACTGGGGACTTAGGAGGAATTTCAAAAAGCAATCTTTGAGTTAATAGTTCCAAGGTGTTATGAAGACTAAATAAATAGAAACGTGTGCAACATAGCAAGCAGTATTTAGGGCTCACACATAGTAAATGTTTAATAAGGAATAATTCCTATCATCCCAACTGCTGTTAGCAGAATCAAGTCTGTGAATTGCAACTCCGTAGTGTCCTCATTAGGAGTTAGCAGAGGGTGGTAAGTTCAGGAAATATCATCTGCAGTTATAACCTTGCTTTTAATTCATTCACTTTGATAATTTTTGCTTTTAGCTCCATTCTTTCAAGACTGTATGTCTGAAAATACTCTAGACGAACTGAATGTTGAATTACTGCGCAATAAACTATATAAGGTAATGGTCTTCCCAGATAACACATTTTTCTTGATTACACAATATATCGTAACTAGAATCTTTTACTAACAAAATTTATTTGTTTTTTGTTGTTTGATTTCGTTTTTGGTACTGGGGACTGAACTTGGGTTGTTGCGCTTGCGAGGCAGGCGGTGGAACCACTGAGCTAAATCCCCAGCCCAACAGTTTGTCCATTAGCCAACATCAGCAATTAGAAAGTTATATAGATTTGGAATATAGCTTTTATTGTGTTGGCCTATCTTCTAGTTACACACATGTATATCAACTTCCCCCAGCCATCAACATATTTGAGAAGAAATAGCACAGTCTTCTGTGTTCTTAGCTTCTTGCACAGTGCCCAGAACATAAAACGTGCCGATTGGGTGGTAGTGGGTGGCTGGATAAGTGAGTAGGGTGACCCATATGAACCCGTATGAACCATCATGCATATTAAGTCCTCTGTTTTTTATTTTTATTTTTATTTTTTGTGGTACCGGGGATCGAACTCAGGACCTTGAACTTGCTAGGCAGGTGCAGTTCCACTGAGCTACATCTCTGACCCTAAGTCTTCTGTTTTATAGCCACCACCTCTGTCGCTGATATGGTTATAGAAGCCCCCAAGCCTCACAATTAAGCTTCCCACAGAATTGTAAACCACTATGTGCAGTACACCAGGGTGACCAGCTGGTGGACACTGCATCTATGTCCCACTTTGCATACTGTGGCTGTCTGGACAAGGCTGCCACAATTAGAGTGGCCCTGTGTTTTCTGGGTTGAGCAAAATCTGCCCATTTTCACTCATACAACCACAGCACCTTTGGACACTCTCAAAGCATAAATGAATATATACTACTGTACCATATATATTATATATTTAGTGAAAGCATGACAGGAAATTCTTTTTGAAAAGAGACATGTGGACTTTGAGGGCCCTCTTCTGAGCAATATATAGGCCTTAATTCCATTAATCTACTAGCAAAACTATGAGATTTATGCTGTACCCATTCTTCAGATGAGAAAAACTGATCCATGGAGGGGTAAGGATTCCTCACAGAAGTCCACTGGCTGGTAAGTATTAGAGTTGGGTCTCAGACACAGGCAGGCTGGTACTATAGCTTTTCCAATATATCCCCATACTCAAAGCCATTCCTAATTATCTCTGAAAGATTAAATGTCAGCATAAGACCGCTAAAATCTTTTGCTGAGCTCAGAAAAGAACTTGGCACTCTTGTTAGAATAGCCCGAATTAGCCATGTGAAATAATCCAAGAACCATGTGAAAAAAAAATGTTTAAGTAATTATAATCCATGGTAAGTGCAGTTTTGTTCTTTCATGGAGTTCTTTTTTAGTCTGTGCAACATGCTGCAATGTGAAAATTTCTACCAAATTCATTATAAAATATCTCCCTACGGGAAAAACAATTCAATTTTCATTAAAGAATTTCATAAGTCATGAAAAGATAACTTAGAAATTTTCAAAAGGAAAGTATGTTCATTTCATTGTTTTATGATCTTTACTCCTTTTTAGTCTTACCTTGAGTCATTCTACAAATTCTGTAAGGATCATGGTGATGTCACTGCAGAAGTTATGTGCCCCATTCTTGAGGTAAGAGTCTTTGAACTTTTTATGCTGAGTAATGTGTTTATATACTTTTCCTTGTTTGGGTTTTGCTTATATTTCTTTATCTTATAAATCATATAGAAAAAAAGTAAGCACTACAGTGTAATACATGTATCATTTCACGTCTTCAATGAAGAATAGCATTTTTTGAGGGCCAGAAGTGGAGCTCAGTGGTACAGCCTTTGCCTAGCACACTCAAGGTCATAGGTATGATTCCAGCTCTACCAAAAACAAACAAACCAACAAACGAATAAACCATTTGCCAAGTTTTCTACACAAGGGAATCATTTTGTAATTAGGAAAGAAAAATGCTTCCAAAAGTTTGATCATGATTCATTTTGATGTAATATGTAGAATGCATATTAAAACGATTTAATGTTTAGCAGTGTGAGCACTTGGTGAACTGTAGGAACTCTCACAATAATCATTCAAATTCCCTCCAATGGAAGAACTCTAGGCAGCTAGAAACTTCTACAACTTGGCCCCAAAGTACAATGTGACTCTATCCACAGGGGCATCATTCTTGATACAAAACAAATCCTAAAATAAAGACTGCCCCGGGCAGTCCTTGAGCATTCTAGTTTTCATTAAGAAGGCTCCAGTTCAGTGATTAACAGTTAACAAACTTATTTAATAATGTATCAGTTGCCACTATTGATATTTACCTCTGTAGATGATTTTGTGTGTGTGTGTGTGTGTGTGTGTGTGTGTGTGTGTATGACGCTGGAGATAGAACCCAGGATTTTGAGCATGCTAGAGGAGGACTCTAGCCCTGAGCTACATCCCCAGCCCCTATACCCTTTAATTCTTCTTTATCACTACAAGTCCATCTATGCTCAGAGGTCCTCTCATAAGGTTGACCTGCAAATATGAGGGAGTCTGGGATGGAAATCTGGACTGTGTGTGAGGCATCCTGGGCAGTTTACACCAGTGTTTCAGTTATTTTTTTATTTTTTAATTTTTTTACACCAGTGTTTTAGATACATCTCTCTTGTTGGTTTCCTAATCCACTTGAATAATAAAACACCACTTTGCATTTTTCTAAGCCTTTGCTTTGCTCTACAAAACTGTTATCTAAGAATATTTCTTAAGTACTAGATTATCTGTCACAGTGGCTTGTAGATAGTCAAATAACTCAAAGTCTTACAATCTCAAGAAAAATCTAATAAGTATTACTCATTGGGAAAAAAAACCCACAACTATTAACATTATTTGCGTATATTTTAATTCATGTTCTGATACTGCATATGATGAAATACGTGCTCCTCAGATGGCTAATCATTTAAATTTTACAGTTAAAGCTATGATGGTAACCCTTGTTGAAATTCCTAAAAATGCCAAATAGTCCTTGAAGCAAACATCTTATCACTGGAGAACTCCAAAAATATTTTTGTCTTTATCTGTATTACACAGAAAGTGGGCACTGAATAAATAAATAACATTTTTGTGGCGCATGTATTGTTAGCAAGTGAACTGCCCTCTTTCAGACATTGGCCCTGTGACATGAGTAACATAGTGACCCTATGAAAATGTCCCCTCCATTTCCACAAATTGAATGACTGGCCACAGTGGAAGAAGCCATATAATCTGTGGTTCGAAACTACAGTTTCTATTTGGCATAATTCCTGTGGTTTAGAAGTGGTTTGTGTATTCTGTACCTAGAAATATGTGAAACCAAAGTTGTGTTAAAACTCAGAGCCTTAGAAAGGTGTAAATGGGACTATCAGTAGCTAACACTATTAGCACAATGTGCCACATTCCATCCTGAGTGCTTCATATACATGAATCCACTTGGACTTCAAAACTACACAACAAGGTAGGTATTTTAGTGGACATTTTTCAGAAGAAGCAACTAAGCCATAGAGAAGGCTCCAGTGACTTGCCTGGTGTCATGCTGCTAGGAAGTGGTAGCGTCAGGATATGAACCCAAGCATCTGGCACCAGTTCCTTTACTCATACTGAGTGCAGTTGCCTCTAATCCCAGCTACTCAAGGGACTAAGGCAAGAGGACTGCAAGATCAAGGCCAGCCTGGACAACTTAGCAAGAACTTGTCTCAAAATAAAAAATCAAATTAAGGGTTGAGAATATAGAGATGTATCTGAGTGTTCCCTGGATTTCATCCCTAGTACTAGAAAAATAAATCACCATTCACAGTTCTTTTGTATAGAAAGTAAGAGCTTATTCATAAGAAAGACCCTACTATCTGACCTATGAAAATCAGAAATACATAAGAATTATTTCTTTTTTATCCTCAGTGGGGTAAAAAAATAGTATTAGCACAATGAGTGTCAATCAAAGAATTTGATGAAACTAATAAACGTCTGGTGTTTTTATTTTCCCTTTCTACCCTCACAGTGCTATCAGATTAGAATAGATTTTTTTCAAATTGCATTAAAAATAAAAATACATCCAACTACCTTTACACATTTACATAGAATAGTAGCTATTGATAGCATTCAATTAGAACTTTTCTAATAATATGATCAGAGTAGATTTTTGAGCTGTATACATTCTTTTTACATAGATATTTTTTAGATCATAAAATTGCTGTTTATTTGTGCAGCTATAGAACACAAAGTTTCACATACATATGTTTGTCTCTTGAATCTTATTTGAGGTTTTTTGTTTTTGTTTTTTGTTTGATTTTTTTTTTTTTTTTTTTTTTTTTTTTTTTTTATTTTTTTATTTTTTTTTTTTTTTTTTTTTTTTTTTGAGACAGGGTCTCACTATGTAATTGAGACTGACCTGGAATTCTCTTTGTAGCCCAGGCTGGTCTCGAACTCCCAGAGATCCTCCTGCCTCCGCCTTCCAAGTGCTGGGATTAAAGGCATGCGCCACCACGCCCAGCTTGAATCTTATTTGAGAGGAAACTTCACAATACTTACTGTAGTAGAAGAAAGCATTCATCTATCTAGGCTTGCATGTGAAAATCTGACTTAATTACAAGATTATAAGAAAAGAAGAGACTCTGACTCACCTTCAGGGCAGATGCACGGCCACACACCCTGCTCTTCCACTGAGTGCATCTGGTTAACAGCACTGCACACGAGCTTCTAAAGCAGGGCTCCACTCTAGCTCACTTCCCTTTGCCATCAGCACGGACACCTCTGCCCTGTACCCTTCTTCCTCTAAGAAGGTTTGACCCCACCAGTCCAAATCTATGATGGGCAACTGCTAAGGATTTTGAACAAATCAACACTGTTATTTCTTTTTCTCACAACAAGAAGAAGTTATTATTTGAAAATGTAGATTTCTAACGAAGACTGAAGGAAAGACACAGGGCATCCAGTATACTGTGCACCACATGGCAACCGGATTCTCTGCAAAGGAAACAGGCAGAATCAAACCACTGCTACCCCTCTTAGTCTCCTCTCATAAGATGCTACGTCCAGCTCTGCTTAGGTGTGATCAAAAAGCAGTCCTTTCATAATTTCAGAATTATTTTTTTTTCACTCAGGACACACACTCACACACACACACATGCACGCGCGCACACACACACACACACACACACACACGAAAACCCCATGACTAGTAAAATAAGATAGAAACGCACACAGTTACAGGGATATGAAAATGTAATAGGGATTGAAAGCCAATCATTTCCAATTATGGAATAAATAAAGGCCTTGCTATGAAGATGGCATTGGGTGGGACCCTCAAACACACATCGGAGTTCACCCTGCAGACGCATGAGATGGAGCATGTGTCTCCCAGGCGAAGGGGAGAAGTGGTGATAAGGACAAGGACTTGGGGAGTGTGGACTGTTCCGATGACTGGTGTGTCAGTCAAGGCCATCCCGCCTTGTCAGGGCATGTGGAGCCCTTCCTGCTGTCACCTCCACTACCTGTCCAGTTATTGCTGACTCTTCTTGCTCAGCATTGGAGTTTCAACCACTCCTCCAAAATGTGCGCGCAGGCGGGTTTCCCCTTGGCACACGCTGTACACGTGCTCTGCTATCTTTAATGTCTGCAGTGCTGTCTACCCGTCCTGTTTCTCTCTTGACAATTCTAACATCTTAGATCTAGAGAGCACATAAAAGACCATCTGGGACAATTACTTCCTTTGTTGCTTCTCCTGTCCTAATTTTTATTTTAAGGTTTATTATTGCCACGAAATCTCCCTCTTGTATTTCTTCTCTTATCCCTGTAAGGTCTAAAATTACTGACAGGACTGGTTATATTCAGTGGCCAAAGGCAGCTGCCTTTGCTTCCAAATAAGGCTACTTCCTGCTTCTGGCCCACCGGTAATTTCCATGAGAGCAATCAAAAGGATCATATGAAACTAACTCACAATCCTTCTGATAGGAAACACCTGTTCTAACAAAAGAGTTCCAGGAAAATCTGTTGCAAGTTTGATTTTGTTACTGGTTAATAGTCAAAAGTAATGATTAAAGGATAGTGTAGACCAATTCTTTTCAACTTTCCTGTGTGTGTAAATGACCTTGGAATGGTGTTAAAATGCAAATTTTGGTTTAGTAGGTCTGGATTGGGACCTGAGACTCCACATTTCTGATGAGCTTCCTGGTACTTTCAAAGCCTGGTGCCATGAAACACTTGGAGCAGCAGCATTATAGAGAACATTGCAGGATTCAAATTAGCAAAATCACAAACTGTTCTGTTGGGTTTGATAAATACTTAAACTATTACTGAGTATCAATGCTACGCACAACCTGTAATCTCAGCATTCTGGGAGAATAGACAGGCAGATAACAAGTTCTAGCCCAGCCTGAAAACAAAATTTTTAAAAGGCTTGGAATGTACCTCTCCCATGTTCAGTCATGTGTGTGTGTGTTGTGTGTGTGTGTGTGTATTCATTCTTATGTGTCAGCCACTGACTATTCAAAAACAATGAATAAGAGAGAGAGATGGTGATAAGATTCCTTGTTAAAAAAAAAGCAGAGTTGGGTACCTAGAATAGAATTTCTGAGCTCAAGAACAGCTTGGCAAACATCCAGAGTGGACAGAACAGGAGCCCATGGAGAACAGACTGAGATAAAATGGTCAGAGTAGGTAAGAGGAGAACCAAGAGTGAAATATGGAGAGTAAAGTGAAAGAAATTTCAAGAATGACTGGGTGATTACATGAAACAGAGTGGTCTGACCTGAAGACGGGAGCTCAGGTACTCAGCTAGACAATTTAGCAACTTAGCAAGAGCCTGACTAAAAAAAAAAAGTAAAGGCCTGAGAATGTAGCTAATGATAAAGGCCTTGGGTTTAATCATATGTACATATGATGTTAATATGTTTGATGACCACTTTTTTTTGTTCAAACATCTGGGTAGGCACATCCACTTACATTATCTTGATCTGTCCCTGAAGGAACTACAGTAGATGTTACTTCCACTTTTATACAAAAGATACTTGTAACTCTAGTGGCTTATATGATATAGACTCAGGGTGCTTGGGAAGTAAAGTCTGGTGAGGTTTCAAGAGTCATAGGCCATCACTGACATGGCAAAGTTATTTCATTTCAAGAAAAGAGCAAGGAAGAATAATAACATATGTCTACATTATAATTAATTTTAGATCAGAAAAGGAAAGCAAATCACTTCAGAAATGGATTTGTCCACAGGGTTGTCTTTACAGCATTTAGTAGAGTATCAGATATCACTGATTTTATGTCTTATAAATTCAGTTTGAGGCTGACCGACGAGCCTTCATTATCACCCTTAACTCCTTTGGGACAGAACTGAGCAAAGAAGACCGGGAGACGCTCTATCCGACCTGTGGCAGGCTCTATCCTGAGGGTTTGCGCTTGTTGACCCAAGCCGAAGACTTTGATCAGATGAAGAGAGTAGCGGATCATTATGGAGTAAGTAATCGCACCAGGTCCCTGCATGCCTTGTGCTATTTCATCATGCGTGCTTTAGAAATTCATGCCTTAAATTTGCACTTAGTACCAAAAGAAAGTATAATGCTTTAAGGTAGCAAGCAGCACCTCTTGCTGTAATTCTGTCTTCCAAAGAAATACAAGTTTCTAGACAAAGCTGTTTGGTTTTTTTAAGGTTCCTGTCAAGTAAGTATTGCTAAAATCTTCACAGAGTGGTCATCTGAGCACTTTCTTCAAGTGTTTGATGAGGCAAGTTCCCAAGAAACAGAGTGCTATTCTGTAAATATGAGCTCACGTCAAAGTTACATAAAATAGCCTGACCCCATGGTCCTTTCCAGTACCCATTATGGAAACAGGGCTAGGTGCAGAATGTCCATGAGAACTACAGGGAGAATATGTGTCTAGGTGTGGACTTTTCTATTCCCTTTGCCAATGGAAGGAATCAGGAGAGGACAGAAAGCTACTTGTGTCCTACCCCCTACTCTAGCTTCCAACAAGATGCTTTGGGTATTGCAAGGACAAGGTCTTGAGTTTGATCCCTGGTACCCCCCCAAAATGCTTTGGGTAAGACAACCCAAAGTTCTCAGCTCTACGTTACGAACCTTCTCCCAGATTCTAGGCCCTCTGACTTGCACTCTCTCTCTCTCTCTCTCAATCTCTCTCTCTCTCTCTCTCTCTCTCCCTCTCTATCTCTCTCTATCTCTCTCTCTCTCTCTCCAAGTCATTTTCCCAGGACTAGACTGGCACCTGCCTTTCCCTGTGGATTTCTGAAGCCCTCCAGGAAAGATAAAAGTCAGCAAAGGATATAGAAACCCTTGTAACATCTCATCTGTCATTGCATGAGACTCTTCAGCTGAATATTAACATCTGAGCTTTTTCCCCATTCCAACCCCTTTCCACACTTGGAATTCTGCATGGGTTGTATCAGGTGTCAATCTCAAAGAACCCATGAGCCCATACTCATCAAACTGCAAGCATTCATTGGGCCCCAAGAATATGAGATTGGAAATTAACTTTAACAATGCATACGGAGAATAGAATAAATTTGGACTCTTGCCTCATAGCCCCGAATAAGCCAATAAGTTAGAATTTCATCCGCACTCTTACTATTTGAAATTTTTGCTATTGTGTCAGGAAACCAAAGATCTTACAACAAGAAATTCAGGCCTTCTGGTGTAGATTTTTAAAAAATAAATACACAAGTCTATATTGCTAAAAATATATTTATACACACTTATAAAAAATGAAAGATTTGACCTCTCATCTTTATTTTTAAGGTGTACAAGCCTATATTTGAGGCTGTAGGTGGCCAAGGAGGAAAGACACTGGAAGATGTGTTTTACGAGCATGAGGTATGAGATAACTGGGAATGCTATTAGCTTATGTACTTTTCTTTAACTGTGGGTTATTTTTTGTTTTGTTTTTGTTTGTTTGTTTGTTTGCTTTGCTTTGGGTTTTCTTTTGCAGTTGGTCAGGCAGATTGATGTTTGCCAATCAGCAGTGTTAATATTTCCTTGTGGCCACATGTGATAGCCTCCCATAGAATTGTCCCACCTATAGACAGATGTGCACATTATGAAGCCCTGGAAGAAATGTAGCTTTTCTGTAGTTAATTAACTAGGAAGCAAAGCAAGGACATTTCTGTCATCACATACTGTGTACCCTCACTGTTACAACTCATTCTCTAACTCCTCTCTCTTTCAAGGAGGCTTTATCCATGACTAAAGCCCATGGACACAATTATACCCTTGGGAAATATTCATAGGGGAATCCACTCAGAGAGTCTAGATTATTCTCTTTCCCTGAAAATGTCAGAGGAGTATTTAAACCATTAATGATTGAATCCTGGGCTCTTGAACTATTTAACAAAATTCCCCCTCCCCCACAACAGGCAAGTTTCCCCAAACCTGGAGAACTTTTCTAGGGCATTTCTTTGAAACCATCTCAATCAGACTGAAACTAATGAAGAACCAATCTTCCAGGGACAGTGGCACATGCCTGTAATGCCAGCACACAGGAAGCTAAGACAGGAAAGTCATGAGTTTGGGTCCAGCCTGGGCAACTCGGTGAAACCCTGTCTCAGAAAACAAACAAAAAAGAACCAAACATCAGGAGTAGCTCCAGAAAGCAGTTTGCAAAACCTTCTTGCATCTACCCTTTAAACATTTTCCAGTGGCTCTCTAGTGTCTGTCATAGAAAAAAGTAACAGCCGTGCAAATTATCCAACATAACAGGGATATATATATATATATATACCCACGCCACTGCACCAGGGCTGCAAAGGAGGCTGCTGAGAAAGCTGCTCATGGCGGGAAGGATGAGTGTCTATTCCTGAGAACAGAGGCGGCCTCCGCTTCCTGGCTTCTTTGCTTGGGGTTTTCAGAGTGCATAAGACTCAGTTACCTCTCTTCCTCTCTTGTCAAAATGGAAAAGAGTGAAAGAATCATTCTATTTCCATCTTTATGCCAGTTTTTAATTTTTTTAAATTTTCTTTTACTCACTTAACTTTTGTAGAATAAAACAATTCAACTGCATGAAAGTTGCTTCAGAGTATCCTAAAAAAGCTCATAATATCACTCAATCTAAATTCCAGGAGCCTGTGACATTGCTCAGGAAGGGAGTTAGATAGCCTTAAATGCCTTCATTAAATGTTGAAACTGTGGCCAAGAAGAAATGCTTTACCCAAATGAGGCAAGCTCACTACCTGAAAGCCGGGTATATATTACTACAAAGTTGGACACGCATTCAAAACACACCCAGAAATCTTTGTGATAGCAGTGCTGTTGGAAGGTTATTTTGTGAGTCCATAAACTTACATTTTTAAACTGCTGGTGTCTACATTTGTCAGAATGAAGCTTGCTCTTTAGAATTTGTTGAGTTGTCACTGTTTTCCTCTATTTGGCCCAATTTGGACACTGACTATCCCAACACAAAGAAGCACTGCACACTCAGAAGCCACTGTGTAGCTTAATATCACTTTAAAAATGTACACCTTCCAAATAAGTTGATAGTCCATGTTACTTGTTTTTTTCTTCCTCAGGTACAAGTGAATGTCCTGGCATTCAACAGGCAATTCCACTATGGAGTGTTTTATGCATATGTAAAGCTAAAGGAACAAGAAATGAGAAATGTTGTGTGGATAGCAGAATGCATTTCCCAGAGACATCGAACGAAAATCAACAGCTACATCCCGATTTTGTAAGATGATGGGAAGGTCTCAAATGCAGAAAAATCATAAAGGTTACAGGAAGCTACTAAGTAAAATAAAAGAAATTGTACTACATTAGCTAGATAACATAAAAGTAAGCCAGGTTGGACCTTTGTGAAACCCCTAAAACTAACTCTGAAACTAACCTGAAATGAAGCATTTCTGTTTTTTTTCTCTTCAGCAGCCTTAACTCTTGCTTCCACATTTATGTCTCATTACTCACCAGTCCCTACACATTAATTTTAATTAACTATGCAGTACTTTTCATTTTCTCACTTGATCATGTTAAAATCAGATCTAATAAAAGTGTTTTATTCTTGCTTTTCTAGCTTCTCTACGGGCCCAGATATGAAGTGTCTGTTTTAAATTTTAGCTGTCTGTTCTTACACTAGCTCCACAAAAATCTAAATATGGACTTAGCCAACGGAACCATATTTGATGGGAAGGGTTGCATTTATTTTTCCAATATGCTTTGATCTGGTACCTAAAGAATACTACACAGTTCCCTAGATGCAACTAGTGCTACACTGATAATGAACTAGTTGCTCATAACTTTCTTTAAATTAAAAAAACATTGTTTCTTTTGGTTCCTTAAATTTTACCTTGGAAACAACCCATAAGATGGTTTTGTATTCAGTCAGAGGCAAAAATTATAGGTGCAGTTTATAGAGTATGCATTCTCTATAAAACCTGAGTAGAACAAGTGCACAAATCTACAGAGAAAAAGAAAAATCAGTAAAACAGAGATTAAATTCTTTCTTTAAATATAAAAAAGTTCTGTGTTTTTTATCTTTAAAAATCAAACATGTACTTATTTGAAAATTATCTTTCTTCCTTTCCTTCTTTTTTCTTTTTGGTGGTGCTGTCATTATAGTACCAGGAACTGAACTCAGGGCCTCATGATTGCCACTAAGCTACATTCCCAGACCTTTTTTTATTTCTGTTTTGAGACAGGATCTTGTTAAATCGCCCAGGCTTGCCTCCAACTTGTAGTCCTCCTGCCTAAGCTTCCCAAGTGGCTAGGATTACAAGTATATATAGCCTTCCCCAGTTTAGATATTTGAATACTCTTTAAATGTGAATATGTGCAGAGATTATGCATATACATATATCTGGATTTGGGTGTGTAGACAAAGGATTAAATTTTTTATAGAGTCAAATGTGTTAGCAAAATATTTTAGTAATTTTAGTGGTAGAGATTTTTAAGCATAAGAAAAAAATAGTGATTCACAAACAGGAAAGAAGGCCAAATGCCAAGCCACATCCTCAAGCAAGAGTCCTAGCCTGTACCTGAGTTCTGGTGCCAGAAAGCCAATGTGCTTTGCGGGCTGCAGTGCAGACCCATCAGCAGGAATCAAAGCATCCACTGACCAAGTGATCCCTGGTTGAAAAAGCATGTTCCCTGTCTTGTCAGATCTCTGCTCTTCACACTAGAATTCAGAAGAATAGACACCTACATTTACATTTTATTCTGTGGTATCTGCAGGACAGGTTGGAACCAAAGACATTATTAAGAAAGAGGCATGAGAAGAGCATGGAAATGCTGCTTTGACTACCCCTTGCCCTCCCCACTCTTCTGCATGGGGTACTAACTCTCCTTAATATGTCACAGTCTGCAGGCAGAAGTTACATTCCTTTTCCCTATATATAAACAGTGAGGACTCTGGTTCCGCAAACCTCTTCCCCAATTACCCAAGAGCCCAACCATTGTGAGATTATAGTGGAACGTCCCTAAAATTCCCTGAGTCAAATAGAATGTGCCCTATCACAAGTAAGTATATACACCTTGAAATTTGAGGAATTTGCCCTGAAGTTTTTCAGCTTTGACGTTTTCACGGACTGAGCTGGGATATTCCTTCTCCATCATGCCTTGGGGATCTGGCTTACAACAGGAAGTACGGATCTTTGAAAAATATTTTATCATTCAGGGCCAAAAAGTCAGTTCTATAGAACTCTGGAAACAATGAGGCCAAAATGAATTTCTCATTCTCAGTGATTAACACTGGCTTCCTCACCATCCCACCCTACCTTGGTACCAACAGTTCAGCAATCTCAAATATCTACTAGCATTTAGTCTTGGAACATTATATGCCAATGAATTCCACACCCAGAATTTCTTGCAGCCAATGCTTCCTGTATATCTGTATGGTCTTCTAACCACCCCTACCTTCTTCATTCTGCTGCTCTTAACATTGTTCCCATGGGTTTGCAAACCTCGTTTCAGCATGTCTGTGGACAGGAACTTGTAAAACCTCCAACGAAGTCTTGCAGTTAGTAGAATTGTGGTGCTCTGTGAGATCTAAGTAGAGCAGTTGGAATTCTTGGGACATTTTGAGAACATCTAAGAAATAAAGACCTTTGGTTTTGATGCTTTAGGAGTGAGGAACACTGGCAGAGAGGAGGTGGAGGTGGCCATCTTGAAACTAAGTGAGATTGTCCAAGGCTAAATATTGTTAAACAATGAAGGAATTCAGTTAACCAGTCTGAAGTGCCCTTTCTCACCCAGCCAAGTGTGGCAAAAATGAAGCATGACATTGAGAAGATTAAAAGAAATCCTTGGAAGAAAGATAGTTATATTTTAAGAGCTTCATTAAAAGTAACTAAAGTTTACTATTTAAAATGTTATTAGCATTGCCCTCCACCCCAGGGCCTCTGAGGAGCTGAGAGCCACATGGGTGCCTTCAACACCACCCTGGGCCTTCCCCTCCCCCTCCTGGCTGTGCTGGTACCTGGATCTACATCACAGAGGCATAGGGGGTCATAAGCCCATTTTTCTGAGATTTAGAAGATAGACCAGATAGAAAAAAAATTGAAACAATCTATGTAAATAGAGAAGGGTAGAAGGGGTGAAGGGAGGGCAGGGGTATGGGGAAAAACTAAGAACCAAGATATATCATGTAAAGGCACAAGATCCCAATGATGAATGTAACTGTATTGTACACTTACAATGTACCAATATATATATTTTTAAAAAGATAGGAAGTGAACAAGTGAGAGAGGGCCTCTCTGAGGCTCCTTGATGAAAATTGAAGAAGCTCTCTGAAAAGTGAAGAATATCTCTGCAATAAAAGCAAACCAGACCACCATAGTTGGTAAATTGGAGGGATTAATACCTCCCATCAGAACCTGGACTATCTTCAAGGAAAGGGCAGCTAGAATCTGTGGTAGAATCATTCAGAGTTCTATCCAGAAGGTCAGGGAGCTCAACATGGGCCTTGCAGCCAGAAATCAGCCTGAATTTTAGTGGACTGCTGCTGACTTCCTGGGACTAATTTATATAGATCTTCATCCTGTTGTCCATATTGTCCACTTTGACAGCAGAGACATATCCTAAAGGAGAAATGTTTTTCTAGTTATTTTTTGTTTTATTTATAATTTTTTTATTCTTTTCAAAAAAATTTTTTTATCTTCTTTTTCCTTTTTGTTTTTCTCTCTCTCCCTTTCTCTCCTCTTTTTCTTACTCACTCTCTTTCTCCCCCACCTTGTTCTTCACCTCTCTTCCATTTTGTTCTTGTTCTTTTCCTAATTTGGTTCTCTTTTTTTCTTTTTCTTTTCTTCTTTCTTTTTCCTTCACTCCTTGTCATTAGTTTTATAGGAAAGTGAATACAGTTTCTAGCTTCCCAATTGTTGTTAGTTTTTTTTGTTCTTTTCTTTGTTCTTTTGTTCTGACTTTTCCTGTTCTCTCCAACAATTTCCCAAAGTTAGCCTGAACTTCCTGTGTCCTCTGGCCTTACTTCTAACCTTTCCATATCCTTCTACCTATATCCTTGGTTCAATCGAATTTTTAAACTCCTGGATATCTGTTTGAATCTTTTTCATGGATTCTGTTTCTTTCTTATGCTGGGCATTCACAGCTTCCATCATAGTCCTAATCTCATCATCATCTTCTTTTTTTTAATCTGTTTCTTGACTCTTCTACCATATCCTCCCTCCCCAACTCCTTGAAAATCCTCATCCTGAAGGGAAAAGGTGCTATATTGAAGAGTTTATTCATTACAACCATATTTTGGGCTGATCCTCAATTTTAATTTAATTCACACAATTAAAGGTGATAGATTAATTGCTACCACAAAAAGTCATTCTCTAAGCTGTGCTTGAGGCTACTGTTGTTGATGATTATATCACTTGGGCTAAGGTGTTGTGATTGCTGTAATCAGTTGTCCTTCCTGGTATACTGAAAACAAGATTGCCTAAGAGTCATTAGAGACTCAAAACCTACAGACCAGCTATATCTGTATGATATCTCTGAGAAGCAATCATCCCATTAGGCTTCTAAATACAAGCAACACAGATACGTACAACAAACAATATTGAAGTAACAACCCAGGAATTAAACCAAAAACAGTACCAATAACAAAAATAGAAATGAGAAGTCACCTAAGCATGGCACAAACACAGACTTCCAGCTCATCAAAGGCAAATTCTAGGGAAAACAAGCTGGAAAAATCTGACAATCAACCATGTGGGCACCTTGAACTGCTAGCATAGGAAGTAACAACAGAGGAATGAGGCTCTAGAAAAATTGAAAGCAAAAATAATTTCCTAGATAACTACAGAGATGGTGAGCAGAATGAAAGACATGGTTAGAAACTCTAGAACAGAAACAGATAAAAAGAAGAAGAGGAGGAGGAGGAGGAGGAGATTAGAACTATGATGGAAGCCATGAAGGCCCAGGATAGGAAAGAAATAGAATCTATGAAAAAGATTCAATCAGATATCCAGGAAATTAAAAACTCTATTGAAAGTATTCAGAGCAGAATGAGCCAATGTGAAGACAGAGTGTCAGATATAGAAGACAGGATTGCTCTTAGTGACCATGAAAAGAGATATCTCTTAAAAATAGTAAAGGACCATGAGAAATCAATGCAGTAGCTCCTAGATGATGCAAAGAAGAGTAACATAGGACTGATAGGAGTCCATGAAAAAGCAGGATAAAGTAAAAATGACATAAAAAAAAAACTGTTCACAGAATTAATGACAGAAAATTTCCCAAACAGAGCGAAAGAATTTGACATACAGATAAGTGAGGCATAGAGGGCTCCAAATAGCCACAATGAAAAAAATCTACACCTAGACATAAAATATTCAAGATCCTGTAAACGCAGCAGAAGAACAAGTACTACAAGCAGTTAGAGAAAAGAAACAAATCACATACAAATGAAAGCCCATCAGAAAAACAGCAGACTTTTCAACAAAAACCATCAAGTGAAGGAGAGTGAGGTCTTTCAAACTCTATAAGAAAACAATCTCTAACTGGATTTATTTATCCTGGGAAAATAAGGTAGATCCAACAACAAAGAACACCTGAGAAACTTCATGAATCCCCAACCAGTACTTCAAGCAATCTAAGCAATATCCTAGAAAAAGACAATGAAGGTCACTACTCTATGAGGCCCAACAGAGCAAAGCCATGAGGTAAAGCAAAAAATTAAGGGGGAATAAAAATAAAAGGGGGGGATAAAAAACATAAGAGCCAATACCAGGAAAATAATGTGACAAGTATAAGTCAATACATATCAGTTATAACCATCAATGTTAATGGCCTCAATTCACCAATCAAAAGAAATAGACTTGCAGAATGGATTAAGAAGCATCATCCAACAATATACTGTATACAAGAAATGCACCTACTTGTTAACAGACCATCAACAGGAAACTGGATAAAGAAGATGTAGCTTTTTTTGGTTTTGTTTTTGGGTTTTTTTTATGAAATGG